CTAAGGATGACAGAAGAAGAATAGATGTCTTGTTGTGGTGCTGGTGAGTCTTGAACAAACCATCGGCTCCCAAGAAAACAAATAGGCCTGTCTTGGAGAGGGTGAAATCAAGTCTTTTCTTGGAGGATAAGATTTTGAAGCTCTGCCTTACTCACTTTGGGCATGTGGCCAGGAGAGATAGGTCCTTGGAGAAGGATATCATGTTTGGAAGGGTGGATAGACAGCTCAGAAGAAGGAGACCCCGGATTGTATGGATTGATATAGTAGTAACTGGGGCAATGGAGGTTGGTGTGTCACAGTTAGTGAGACTGGCTCAGGACAGGGAAGAGTTCAGAGCTGCTGCACATAGGGTTACTATACATCACAGGTGACCCAATGGCACATAGAAACAATAACATATTATGACAGGTTTGGAAGCAAGAGTGGCTTCTACTTCCTAAATAACATGCCTCTGGGAACTCTATGGTAAACTTTGGTAAATGTCGACAGTTGTAGAGCGGCTTCAGGCCTTTTGTTCATAGGTTCGCTTGAGTCATGCTCAACTTGAAGGCAGTCAACAACAACTAGCAACAGAATTAAAGAACTTCACCATCAGTAAAGAAGCAGCCAGCATGCAGTGTATGCTACACCAGCCAGACCTACAGGAGCAGCAGACACGGCCACTGAGACAGAGCTGACATTGAGACTGCTGTTTCATGTAACCAGACCTATAAGCCTTTTCCAAAATTTGTTGGAGGATAACCCATAACTGACAGGACTAAGGGCTTTGTACACTTGTGGAGATTCAAAACTAAGGTGCCTGTGAGTACATGTCAGAAGATAGATGTTCTGAGTGAGTGGAGGTTCAAGACTTAGATATCTGTGAGCACATGCCAGAAGCTGTTCTGAGTGAGTGATTATATCCTGCTCTTAATCTGAATTATAGATTGAGATTGTACACAGCTTTAGTTTGCTTGGCTCTGTAGTCAACAGTCTTGGCACCAGCAGCCAGGAAATTAAAAGGCGCATTGCCATGGGAAAGTCTGCTGTTAGGGACCTCTCCAAAGTACTGAAGAGCAATGGTGTCTCTCTGGAGACTAAGGTGCGTCTGATATAGGCTATGGTCTTCGCAATCACTTGTTATGCATCAGAGAGTTGGACAATGACCAAGGAGGATAGAAGGAGAACTGATGCCTTTGAGCTGTGGTGCTGGAGAAGAGTATTGAGAATACCATGGACTGCTAGGAAAACAAACAGATTTGTCCTGGAAAGGGTTAAACAGGGTGGCTCCTTGGAGGCAAGGATTCTGAGGCTCCGTCTAACATACTTTGGACATGTGAGGAGAGATTGGTCCTTGGAGAGGGACATCATGTTTGGGAGGGTGGAGGGACAAGCACAGGAGAGGAAGGCCCTCTATGAGGTGGATTGATTCAGTGACTGGGATAATTGGGATGAGAGTGTCAGAGACAGTGCGACTGGCACAGGACAGAGCGGAGTTTAGGGCTGTTGGACATAGGGTCGCCATGAGTCGCAAGCGACTCGACGGCACATAACAACAACAAACAAACATAGTTCTGTGTGGTCTGTAAGCTATTGCATAAGATTTTGAACCCAGTAAAGCAATAAGCTTGATGTTGGGATGAGTATAGACAGGTACAGGAGGTGAAGGACATGTCTGACCTTGTGAGAATTGGTTTTGTATTGTTGATGTTGTTGATGGGAACATTTCCCCTTTATGCAGTTGGTAAAGGTCAGATATGGCCATTATACAGACTGACATAGTGACTGAGGTAATGAGGTTAAATGTATCCAAGACAGTGAGTTTGGCTCAGGATAGGGCAAAGTTTAGAGCCATTGCTCATTGAGTTGCTGTGAATCATAGTCTAGTCAATGGCACAATACAATGACAACTAGCTCCTACCTTGAAACACAACAGCAAAGAACTTTGCTTATTTCCACATCTTTTCTTTCTACCAGATTATTTCTCTGATCACTTGCATGGCAAAATTCTCCAGAACAGCAGCCTAAAGAAAGTCTGAGCCTCTTCACCTTCTCTCTCCTTCACCTACTCAGTCACACTTTGTTCACCACCCCACTGTCACTGCTCTTGTGGCCCTCCGGCCAGTATTTCATTGTTTTTGTTCAGACATTCCTCTAGGTCGTATAGCCCTGGTGTACAAGTTGCCGTCCCCGCGGTCACTTGTGGTTGCTGTGAGGCTGAACACTGTGACACTGATGTGTCAAATGTGTTAATGGTTGACTACCCAATGCAGACTGAGAGTGGGGTGGAGCTCCTCGATTAAACAAGCGTGGAAGGAGGAGTGGCGTCCACTTCCATAATAGCTTGCCTCCGAAAACCCTATGAACCTGGAGAGAGGATGAAAGGCACCCAAGCGTTGAGGACTCTCCTTCATAGGGTCGCTATGAGTCGCCTGCGAATAGACGGCACTTAACAACAGCAACAACAACAGTACCAAAGCAAACCATCATTTCTCTTATCTCATTGTACTCATTCTCTGGGCCAAAGACTGCAAATTGATCTTTTCTTTCTTCTGGAAAAACTTTCTTCTCCAGATGCTGGTTTTCCTCCTTATCCCCACACCTCTCTTAAGTTTCCTTTTCTTCTTCTCCTGATATATGTTAGTAGATTCAAGCCTCAGACTTTAGCTACACTTTTCTTGTGTGATCTCTTTCAATCTTTTCATGATGATGATGATGATCGGTGTGAAAGCTTACAGAGCAAATTGGTTTTTGCATCAACCATTCATAAACATTTCATTTTTATGACACTTTTCTCATTATCTAGTTCTTCTGGTCTCAGGTCATAGAAGTTGAAGATCACATAGTCCATTGATCCTGTAGACTAATTGTTTCAATGCGTTTCTGCTTTTCTTCCTTCTTCACTGTTCTTCGCAAAGATAAATCAGTAGCTCCATCATAGATGGCTCTTAGCATGCTTTTAAGACTACATATGTTCCTCATCAACACAGACTATAGAACTGGCTGTGCCAGTTGCCCTTGAGATCCCCAAAGACTATGGTTCTGAGGCCTAAAACCAGCATTCTCTCAGAGTGTCTGGTTATGATTAAGACATTTATGTAATTTTGCCCAGTGTTGGCTCTACTGCTATTGTTGACAGATACCCTCGAGACTACTAGGACTACATAGCAACCCTATGAACTAAGCCCATCCTAGGCTTTCCTCATGATCTCTGCCTTTTAGGCCCATTAGTACAGTCACTGTGCCAATACATCTCACAGAAGGTCTTCCTGTGCACACCTGTCTTGTAATCAGTCTCCAGTTTGGTGGAGATATCACCTCTGGCTGAGTTCCTTCCATTTTTCTGGACACCTTTACCACTCTCACTCCACAGCCACATTTGGTGCCATGCATCCTTTGCAGAGTGCATCATCCTTACATATCTCAGTTTGATCTTGTAGGTACAGCATTTGTCTGCCAGTTTGCTGTACTGACTTACATGTTACTGTGATGCTGGACGCTATGCCGCCAGTATTTCAAATACCAGCAGGATCACTCATGGTGAACAGATTTCAATGGAATTTTCAGACTAGAACACTAGACTTGTCATCCACTTTTGAAATAGCAGGCCTTCAAAAATCCTATAAGGAACAGAATATTATTGGCTCTCGGGAGCTCTGGTGGCCTAGTGGTTAGCTGTGCTGCAATCCTGAAAGCACGCAGTTTGAATCTACAACATATACTATTATGAATGTAGAAATATCATTAGCCAAACCTATGTATCACCATAGTATGCAGTCACTTTCAACTGCCCATAGTTGTTAGTTTTGCCTGTCTGCCTATATATCCACTTTAGTGTTTCTCGCCAATGATAAGGTCAAATTGTCTTTATCTTCCTTACACAATTCCAGATTTCCTTTAATAACATTTGCTGATCCTCCCCTTATTGTATATTGTTTTCTCCTCACTCAACTTACTACATGTCTAGGGAGCTGAGTGGTAAGGAATTGGGCTGCTAATACATTGACTTGCAGTTTAAATCTACTAGTCACTCTGTGAGAGAGGCATGAACAGTCTTCTCCCGTGAGATTTACAGCCTCGGAAAACTTGCTGGAGGGTGATACACTGTGAGTCAGTTATGACTTGATAGCAACCAATAACAATAACATCTATTTATGGGCACACTAGAGGAAGTATACATGGTTTTTATCAATGTCCTGATAATTTCTTTAGAGTATTTCCTACTATTAATAGTCTTGGGAGTGGTAACTGAGGTGGCATTTCTGTTGCTGGTATCTAGTAATACAAAGCATACTTCTTCTTCTTTGAAAAGGAAATACAATGCGTTGTTCCTGCCCATCTCAAACTCAAACTCATTGCAGAGTCAGAAATAACTGACTCTCTGGGTTTTCAGAGGCTATAAATTGCAGGGAAGGAGATTGTCCATCTTCCTCCTGGGAGTTTGTGGGTCAGTCATGTTTTTTTCATACGGACTTAGAAGTTTCACTGGTTCTTAAAAGGAACCTAGAACAAAATTCCTTCATATGAATTGACTCATAAAACATATCAAATATATTGTAAGAATTAATTTTTCTTGGCAGGCAGCAAGCAGAGTAGGAATGGAGGAGGGGGCAGATTTCGCCAAATAATGACAATGTAAACTTGCACCCAAAAAATACGTTTGTACAGACAAGCAACAATGCATTCCACTCTGATACCCCTTGCAACCGTGCAGGCTTCTCAGTTGTGCTGAGCTGCCCCTACAATCCAGGGTCCCCTCCAAACCTCGGCCCCGCCTTACTCCCCAATCCCCGCTCCCCTGGTATCTGGACTCCACCCAGCCGCACCCCGCCCCGCCCCGTGAGCCCGCTGCCCTGCACATCTCCACCCCGCCGCGCCGCCCCCACTCTGCAGCGGGGCCGCGCGCCCTCCGGGTCAGCTGGCGGGGTGGGGCCGGCCGTCGTCAACTGGACGGGCTTTGCGGACACCGTAAACTCCGGGGCCTGGTGGTCGCAGCAGCTCCAGCGGATCGACGAGGAAAGATGGCCGCCCTGACAACGGTCGTGGTGGCGGCGGCAGCCACCGCAGTAGCTGGCGCTGTGGCGGGGGCGGGCGCGGCCGCTAGCCCGAGCGTGGGAGCAGCGCTGCCCCCGCAACAGGTAAATCGAGGCGGACAGCGTGGGGTTCACTCGGCGTCAGGTCCCGGGGGCGGGACGGGGACTCCCCCTCTTCCCTGAACAGGTGTTCCCCGGAGCTCGCTGCAGCGCCGCCCAGGAAGCGGGAGGCGAGGTGGACCTGCCTTTTCCCCGGCCTGCAGCGGCCGGTGCTGTGCTTTGTTGGCTGTTGGCGTGTGCGTTTAACAGGTTTTCATCAGGCACCTCCCTGTGGTGGAAGAGGGTGAAAGAGGGTTTGGAGTCGTGGAAGACCTGAGTGGAAATCCTGGCTCTGCCACTTCCAGGCGTGTGATCTGGGTAGAATAGGATCCTTTAAGGGACTCAGCTTCTCCGAAAATTAGGGCTAATCATAGGCACTTTCCTTGGTTGTGGAAATTAGGGTGTCAGGAATCCTCTAGCAGAGGGTTTGGTTAGAGAGACCACTGAATGGTGTTCACTCTATTAATTGTATCAGGTGCTGACAATATACGGGATGGCCCGACGCAAATGTGTTTCTAAAGATCAGTTTAAGACTTAAGTTTTGGATCCATCTGCTCAGGCCAGAGACGTTGGCTTGTGGCATTATCTCATAGCCCTCACCCAAAGCATGCATAGATCTATCTGCTTTCCTACAGACAAAAGCCAGCTCTTCTCACCATAGATCTGTCTGCTTTCTTAGAGACAAAAGCCAGCTCTTCTCACCATCTCCACTATTTTCTCAACCATCATTTCTCTCCTGGCCTAATAGTCTCCTAATTTATTTCTCTTTTTCACTGTAAAGTCTATTCAGTCATGACATTGCTCTTACTCAACACCCCAAGAGATTCTTACCTCATTCAGAATGAAAGGCCTTATTAAGGCCGGAAGAGCAGTGAACTGCCTCATCATCTCCCTGATACCTCATTTCCAGTCTCCTGCCCTTACTTTACTGCTACCATATCAGTCTCCTTGTGGTCCCACAAAAGTGCCAGACACTTACTGCAGGAGGTTTGCAATTGTTAATTCATCTCTGCTTAGAATGCTCTTATCCCATGGCATACTCCATTACCTCCAATTATTGTTATTATTAGGTGCTGTCTAGTCTACTGCAACTCACAGTGCCCCTGTGAACAAGAGGTCTGAATTCTGCTCTATCCAGAGCATCCTCGGCATCTGATATACTTGAGCCCATTCCTGCAGTCACTATGTCAGTGACCATCTTGCTGAGGCTCTTTTTTCACATACCATCATGTTGAGCAAGACTTTATGACCTACCTAAACTAAACCTCCCTACTGAGCAGAACCTGCCTCTTTTTCTGGTTCTTGTTTTGTTTGTTCTAATAGTTGGTTGGGTTTTGGAGTCTTTTTGGTAATTTCACTTTTAATGGATTCCATCTCTTTGTCAAATAGATAAGCAGATTTACATCTAGGTTGTCAATTATATTTTATTAGTCTATGTATCAGTTGTAGGACTAGTACCAAAAAATTGATTACTATAGCTATGTATAGTCAGGTTTGAGATCAGAAAGTATTGTTTTAATAGCTTTTATTTTGGAAAGAAGATACCAAACACAGCTATTAAGTCAATTCAATTTATGGTGACCCTAAGTGTTACAGAGTAGAACTGCTTCATGGTTTTTCACTGGTGTTCTAGTGGCAAGAAGCTGTGCTGTAATCCCGAAGGCACACAGTTTGAATTCATCAGCTGCTCCTTGGAAGAAGGAGGGGCAATCTCCTGTCTTGCGATTAATTGCCTCTGAAAACCCATGGAAGACCCAAGCTGTGGGTTGGTTCTGACTCAATGGTATTCAACAACAACAACAACAATATAATTTTAACAAAAGCAGATCACCAGGCCTTTTCTTCTACTGCACCACTAGGTGAATTTGAATCACTAGCCTGCAGGTTAGCAGTCCAGTACAAACTGTTTGTGCCATCTACAAACTTTATACTTACTGTGTTTGCAAAACTAACTACACACACTTCTTGATGCTGAAAATAAAATAATGTATAAAACTGGAAAAAATTGTCCTTATGGAGTTTACAGTGTTATGAGGGAATAAAAGAGAATTGAAAAAATAGACGAAGAAAAAGAAGTAATTTGATATATGTTTTTTATCTTACTTTCTTACCTCATGAAAAAGATATTTCCCTAATAGTGCTTGGGACACTACACTTAATAAATATTAGTGGATATGTCTGGTATCTTGAAGGAAGGCTGTTAGGAGACGAGGACAGATTCATTCTTTCCTTTTATCTTCTCAGAGAATCACTCTCTTTACTTGTATGTCATTCATTGTTGTCAAATTGGAACCAACTCTAGATGTCTCAGCCTTGAGCCTTGTTGCTTTAAGCCAGTATTACAAAGCTCTCAATCCTGCCAATTAGAGCTCCAATTAGGCTCTCCATCCCTAGTCCTCCAGCAAACTTGGGCAAAAGGCTCTTAGCTCTAGTTCATGGTATATCAGTTCTAAGGTCTGCTCTCATGTTCTCTGCTAGGGCTACTGCTTCCATCGGCCTGGCCTGATTGGTGCAGGACTCTCTGGCCTTGAAGGCTGTGTTGCAGTCTCCTGCTTGTTCTTTGCTGGTAGTAAATTTTCTCATAGTGTCTTGCTAGATCCACTTAATTTAATAGCGAGACTAGCCAGCTCTCTTGTGGATAAGCAAACACACATCCTGTTCACAGATTCCTGCCCATCCATTTGGCAAAGTCAGAGTCAAATGGCTGAAGAAGCCATTTTGAACAAGAAATCCTTAACAACACAATCACATCACTACTCCCTTTTTTAGAACTGAAGAGCTCAATGAAGTGTTAGCTGTATTTGAACTGAAACACTACACACACCCACAGACTAACAGTTTGGTGGCAGAGTGCTTAGGGAGTTGCACTGCTAACCCAAGGGCTGCACCTCTCCAGGGGTTCGAATCCACCAGCTACTCTATAGGAGGGGGATGGACAGTCTCTTCCTGGGTAAATTACAGGCTGAGACACACACCAGAGGGTCAGCAGTGAGTCTGTGCAGACTTGACAGCAAAGAATTGGCCTCTTTTTTTTTTTTAACATGAATATTGAATAGTTGTCATTAAGTATGTGGATTTTCCTATAGGAAGCAAGCTATGATAACATCATCTGTAGGAAGTTTTGCCACTAATGCAAAGGCTGTGCCTCTTTGGCAGTTCAAATGAACCAGCCATCTGAGAGAAAGATGAGCAATCTCCTGTACATTTTACAGCCTTGGAAACTCAATGGAGGGTCGGCTGTGAGTAAGCTCTGATTCCACAGCAGTGAATGTGGAACTGCCTCTGACGCTAAAAGCAAAGAATGTTCTTTTGAGGACAGAGAAATTCCCTATAACAGCCTCATGAAATTAGAGGTGACCACCCCCCTATCTTAAGTTTCTCTTCAATTATTTTGGACCAATTATCTGTAAATTTTTATAGCTACCTTATATCAGTGGTTTCCACAGCTTCTTGAGGGAATGCTGTTGTTAGATGCCATCAAGTCTACTCCAACTCCTAGTGACCCTGTGTTTGACAAAACAAAACACTGCGCAGTCAGGTGTCATCCTCACAATCGCTCTTGTGATTGATCCCATTGCTTGTAGTCACTGTGCCGGTCTTTCACATTGACAGTCTTCCTTTTCTTATTTGTTGTTGTTATGTACCATCGAGTCATAGCGACCCTGTGAACCTCAGCTCTGAACCTCTTCCCATCCTGAGCCAGCCTCACTGACTTCCATCTCATCCAGGGTCTTCCTCTCCTGCGCTGTCCCTCCACCCTTCCAAGCATGATGTCCTTCTTTTTATTTATCCTCTAGTTTAACAAGCATAATATCTTTTGCAGGGATGGGCCCTTCCTGACAATGCTCAAATTATGTGAGACAGTCTTGCCAGCTTTAGAAATTGTTTCTAAACAAGGTCACTTTCCCCAGTGGCAGCTTAATTACCAGGTGGTGCAATAGCATAAATACAAGCAGTGAATGACTTGAACAAATTCATCCTGTCACAGTTAAGGAGACTGAAAGCCTAAATTCAGGGCACCGCTCTTAGAGGAAAGCTTTCTCTGTCTGTTGGTGCTGGGGTAAAGTCTTTAATCTTTGAACGTCTATGGGCCTGGTGTTAAATCTCCGTGCGCCTGCATCAGTCTTCCCCTAGGTCTAAGAGGTTTCCATGCAGAGACTCCAGGTCCAAAGAGCACATCTCACTCCTGATTGTTTTTTCTTGATGGTAGGTAAGCCCCTTCTTCTCTACTTACTTAACTCATTTTCTCTCATAAGAAAAGATGGTATGGCCCAACCTCAGAAAACTCCCCTTACATCAGGTTAGGGTTGTGACTTGAGTAAGGGTGTTTTATCTCACCTTGATCCCTTTAAATTCACTGGTCAGTCACAGGGATAATTACATTGCATAACTACAGAACTATTTCGAGCCAAAAGCTAGCCAAATAGACGCATATCTTGTGGAAATACAATTCAGTCCATGGCAGATGAGGACTTCTGCATACTAAAAGTCTCTTTATTCTCTTTTCAGACCCTATTTCCCTCTTTTCCTCAGTCCACTGTTCTACTTAGTTATTGAGCTGTGGTTTTTGAAAACTTATAACAATATCATTTTAGTATTGTTGTGAGGTGCTGTCCAGTATGACCCGTAGTGACCCTATGAACAGCAAATCTGAATCCTGTCCTGTCTTGTACCATCTTCATCATCTCTCACATAATTAAGCCCATTGTTACAGTCACTGTGTTAGTCTATCTGGTTGAAAATTATCTTCTTTCTCCAACCCTCCATATTTCCAGGCATTATGTTCTTCACCAAGGAATAGCTTCTCCTAGCAACATGCCCCAGGGTATGTCAGATGAAAGCATTGGAATGAAAAATCATTGTACAAAATTCTATCAGTGGGTCTCCAAGTTTCTCTCTGTCACTAAGGCTCTGTTTTCTAACTCTCAAGTTTCTTCTTTGTTTCCAACTATTGCATTCCAGTCACTAATTATTAGTACTACATCTTGATTGCATGTTTGATCAGTTTCTGACTTTCAAAAGTCTGTGGAACTCTTCAGTTTCTTCTTCCTTAGCTCTAGTGGTTGGTGCGACTATTTGAATAAAATATGTTGTAGTCATAGGTCTGACTTGTATACATATGGATAGTGTCCTGTCATGCAAAGTACTGAACTTCAGAAAAGATCTTGAAATGATCTTTTTGAAAATGAATGTCACACCATTCCTCTTTAACGTGTTATTCTCATAATAAGCATAATAGATTCCATATGACCAATCAGCTCACTAATACCTAGAATTTCAATCTTTATGAGTTCCATTTTATTTTTAGCAGCTTCTAATTTTCCTTATATTCATATTTCACATTCCAATTTTAACGTATGTTTGCAGGCATTTCTCCTCACTTTTTGAGTATTTCCAACCAGAGGTGCTCATTTTCCAACACTATATCTAACAATGTTCCTTTGTTATTCATAACACTTGCTGATGTTAGATGGATCTTGGCTGAAAGCAGAGAATACCAGAAGAATGTCTATCTGTGTTTCATTGATTATGCAAAGGCATTTGACTGTGTGGATCATAACAAACTGTGGCTGACTCTGAGAAGAATGGGAATCCCAGAACATTTAATTGTGCTAATACGAAACCTATACTTGGACCAAGAGGCAGTAGTCAGAACAGAGCAAGGTAACACTGCATTGTTCAAAATTGGGAAGGGTGTACGCCAGGGATGCATCCTGTCTCCATACCTTTTCAATATGTATGCAGAGCAGATTATCCGAGAGGCTGGGCTCTGTGAGGAGAATTGTGGCATCAGGATTGGTGGAAGATCTCTTAACAATCTGCGTTATGCAGATGACACAACCCTGCTTGCTGAAACTGAGGAGGACCTCATGCACTTGCTGCGAAGGGTCAAGGACTGCAGCCTTCAGTATGGACTAAGGCTCAATTTCAAGAAGACAAAGATTCTCGCCACTGGACCAATTAGCAGCCTCAGGATGGATGATGAAGAGATTGAGATTGTTCACAGCTTCAGTTTGCTCGGCTCCACAGTCAACACTCTTGGCACCAGCAGTCAGGAAATCAAAAAGCGTATTGCGATGGGAAAGTCTGCTGTTAGGGACCTCTCAAAGGTACTCAGGAGTAACAGTGTCTCTCTGGAGACTAAGGTGCGCCTGATACAGGCCATGGTATTTGCAATCGCTTGTTATGCATCAGAGAGTTGGACAATGACTAGGGAGGACAGAAGGAGAGTGGATGCTTTTGAGCTGTGGTGCTGGAGAAGGGTACTGAATGTACCATGGACTGCCAGGAAAACAAACAGATTTATCTTGGAGAGGATTAAACCAAGCTACTCCTTGGAGGCAAGGGTTTTGGGGCTTTGTCTGACATACTTTGGACATGTTGCCAGGAGGGACGGGTCCTTGGAGATGGACATCATGCTTGGGAGGGTGAGGGACAACGCAGGAGGGGAAGACCCTCTATGAGATGGATTGATTCGGTGACTGGGGTAATCGGGATGGGTGTGTCAGAGGCGGTGCGGTTGGCGCAGGATAGAGCAGGGTTTAGTGCTGTTGTGCATAGGGTCGCTATGAGTCGGAAACGACTCGACGGCACATAACAACAACAACAACAACAACAACAACATATCTAACAATGTTCCTTTGTTATTCATAGGAATAATTTGTATAGGCACTTTAAAGGGTTTTTTTGGTTTGGTTTTTTTTTTTTTACACTTTTAAGTTTTAAAATAGGGAAAATGTACCGAAGTATTTTGTGCTTTAATGACATACATCTAACATTAACACACACTGAAGTATGAGGCAAGCATTTAGCACTGGTTTTGCTGATTAAGGTTATATGTCAATTTCTCTGGAGTATAACTTTCACTGGTTTGTCAGTTATGTAATACTATAATCATCCTCCATTCTGTGGTCTGATGTGATCATCCTCCATTTTCGAATAACACTGATTTCCCAATAAAGACTTGTTATTTGGAAGATGATCAGGTTGGTAAGTGAACGGTGAGTGTAGATAGATATCTGTCTACATATGTTGTTGTTGTTATGTGCCATTGAGTCACCTGCAACTCATAGCGATGCTGTGTACAATAGCTCTGAACTCTGCTCTATCCTGAGCCGTGTGTGTGTGTGTGTGTGTGTGTGTGTGTTTTCAATCACTCGTTATGCATCTGAAAGCTGGACTGCCAACAAGGATAGAAGAATTGACGCCTTTGAGCTATGGTGTTGGAGAAGAGCACTGAACATCCCATAGATGGCTAAGAGAACAAACAGATGTTTCTTGGAGAGGGTATAGCTGGAGTGCTCTTTGGAGACAAGAATGATGAGGCATACTTTGGACACGTTGCTAGAAGGGGCTGTTCCTTGGAGAGGTTCATAATACTGGGAAGGGTGGAGGGTCAGTGAAGGAGAGGAAGACCCTTAGCCAGGTGGATTGACACAGTGGCTGCTGCAATGGGTTCTTTTTTTTGTCTTTTCTTTTCTTTTGTTAATTTTAATGAACATTTACAGAAGTTTTGAATTTCCATTCATTCATTGTTGCACTTCAATGGATTCTTGTGTGTTAGGAAGTGTAAGAATAGAGCAGGGTTCACATTTTTTGTTCATAGGATTGCTGTGAGTCATACTTGATTTGACGGCACCTAACAAGAACTGTATCTCTCTATCTCTCTCTCTATCTGTCTGTCTGTCTATCTATCTATCTATCTAAAATCAGTGCTGTCTCTCTGTTAATTTTTTTGTGGTATTGGTAGATTATTACCCTGTTAAAGAATGCTAAGTATTCTTGGTTATTCTTCAAATCTGCTAATTTGTATTTTACTTGCCACCTTGTTTACAATTTAATAAAATAATTTGACAATCATATTAATGAATCTTATGGGTCTTATAGTATAAAAGTATAAAGCAGAACATAAATTGTGCTAAGTGTCAACATTTGCATTTTGAAATGGGATGATTTTTTATAAGACAATTTGCTTTTGAAGAATAGGTCATTTTATAAATGTAGGAATGGCTATTTCTGTCATTGCTTACAGATTTATTTTTATTTCATGCAGAATGATGGCAATTTTAGTACTTTAGGTGGAATTCGAGCTTTCCAGCTTCAGAATTGGAAACAGAAAGCTATTCGAAATAAGAAAACAGAATTCGTACGTACAGCTGAAAGATTTAAAAATCAGTAAGTATAACAAACAGTATATTTAGATCACATAATTAACCAATTTATGATGTATTATGTAAAGTTACGTCTACTCCACACTGCTCAGTCTTTACTTTGTTGTTGTTGTGTGCCAGCAAGTCGCTTGCGACCCTATCCACAATAGCCCTGAAGCCTGTTCTGTCCTGTGCCAACTTTACTGTTTCTGACATACTGACCCTCATTACTCAAGTCACTGAATCAGCCCATCTCATCGATGGTCTCCTTCTCTTTTTCTGTCCCTTCACCCTTCCAAGCATAAGGCCCCTCTCCAAGGACTGGTCCCTCCTTGCAACATGCCCAAAGTATGTCAGACGAAGCCTCAGAATCTTTGCCTCCAAGGAAAAACCTGACCTCACCCTCTCTAGGATGAACCTCTTTGTTCTCCTGGCAGTCCATGGTATATGCAACACTCTTCTCCAGCAACACAACTCAAAGGCATCAATTCTCCCTTCTATCATCCCTACTCACTGTCCAGCTTTCTGATGCATAACAAACAATTGCAAAGACTATGGCCTGGATCAGGCACACCTTATTCTCTAGACTGACGTTGTTGCTCTTCAGTACTCTGGATTGGTCCCTGACAGCTGACTTTCCCAATGCAATTAATCTTTTGATTTCCTGGTTGCTGGTATCAAGAGTGTTGATTGTGGATCCAAGCAAACTACATCTTACTTTACGTTATAGAATTCTTGTTTATTACGTTTGTCCAATAAAGTGAAATCTTTAGGATCCATGAGTGTCTGTTTGCCCAGCCTCACAAATTTTCCAGCCTGACAGAGTGCAGACTACTTTTCTCTAGCTGTTAAAAATCCTATTCATAACATCAGTGAGTTTTCCTTTCTGACAAGTTTTTGCCTTATACAAATTCCTTATTTTACTATATAAAAGAAGGGAAGGGTGAGGAGTGTGGCATGGATGAGTAGACTTCTTACTGTCAGGTTGGCTGTGTGGCATAAATGATAAGTGCCTGATTAGTGTCTGAGGGTTATTGGTTTGGACCCCTCCAGAGGCCTTTTTTAAAATAGGGCTAGAGATCAGTTTCTAAAAAGGTCAGAACCTTATTAAAAAGGCTGTAGAGCAGTTCTCCTTTGCCCACATGGGGTCACTATGAGTCAGAATCAGTTTCCTACTCAGATTCTTCTTGTACATTATGGCCACGTTAATTGTGAAATTACATTTAATTTTAATACATTTGTATTTTTCTTTAAATACATAATAGTTATGGAATGGTGAGCTTGTCAATGATGCCATGAGAAATGATTGAAAAAAGAGTATGCTAACCCTATTTTTTAGCTGAGAATTTAGTAAAACTCTGTTTTGAATTTATATAGTATTGTTTGTTGTGTTTGGTTTTTGGTGGTTTTTTGTTTTTTTAAGAATTCAACAAAGAAAATAAAGCTATTATAAGAAGTGGTGTCTGGATAAAAAATTAGTGACAGTTTTTTGTTTAGAAAATCCCTCGATTAAAAAAAGGCATCCTATTTGAGTTTTGAAGTTACTCATAGTGATCTGTGTGTACAACAGAACTAAGCAATGTCCACCCTACTCTATCCTCACAAGCTCTTTGAAAGTCTTCCACTGTTTGCTGATCTTCTGCTTCTCCCCCTCAGGGATTGTCCATAGATCTTAGCAAACTAGTAGGTTATGTCTCATAATAACAGCAGTCAAGAAATCAAAAGCTATGTTCTATTGGGAAAATCTGCTGTCAGGAACCGCTTCAGAGTGCTAAAAAGCAGGAATGCCAGTTTAAGGACTAAGGCACATCTGATCCGAGCCTTGGTATTTTCACTTGTCTCCTGTGATGACAGAAGAAGAATTGATGCCTTTGAAATATACTGTTGGTGAAGAGTACAGAATTTCCTATGGACTGCCACAGGTCAAACAAGTCTGTAGGAAGAACAACAAGTCTTGTAGGAAGAACAACAAGGGTGCTTCTTAGAGGCAAGGATGGTGAAACTTTGTCTCACAAATTTTGAATGTTTTTCCAGGAGGGACAGACAGACCCTTTGAAAAATCTATCATTCAGGAAAAGATGGAGGGTCAGAGAAAGAGAAGAAGAATCTCAGCAATATAAGTTGACACTGACTGTAACAACAGGCTCAGGCGTATTAGAAATGGTGAGACAAACACAGGATATGGCAGGGTTCAGATTTGTTGTACATAAGGTCGCTTTGAGTTGTAGTCACCTTGATGACAGCTTACAACAACAGTTGGTTATGTCAGTGTAGACATTTGGCTTCACAATAATGTGCTTATTTTATAGCTCCGATTAGGATCTCGTCATCTGTCATAGAGGATTGGGAAAATTTGCTTAATGCAGTACTGGGAAAACCTGTTGGAAGTATGATACTTCTATCCAACAGTTCTCATTTAATTCAAGAAATAAAAAACCCCTGATCTGTAATACAGATATTTTTAGAAAAGCAATATATTCACATAGTTCAGAAATTTAAAAAAAATGTTCCAAAGCGCTGTACAATGGAATGGCTCTGTCATACCTTTGACCACAGCCACCCAGGCACATACTGTGCCTAGTTTCTTAGGTACCTCTCACAGATGCTTCCTGTATTTGTAAAATCAAAGAAATGCATACTCAGATTTTCTATTTTTTTACATAATTTGCAGCATGCTATACATACTGTTCAGTGTCTTATCTTTTTGAAAAGTTAATACTATTATCTTGAATTCCAGAGAAATGTTATTTTCTGTCATTATAATGACAATGTAGTTATATAAGTCAAACAAATATTTAAAGATGGCTCAGATCCTTATTATTTTGCACAAGTATGAATGAGTGTGGCTTCAGTATAAATTCCTAGATAGTAAAATTACTGAACCTGAAGGTATGTGAAATTTTCCAAGATGATAAATATTGCCAGATTGCTTCCATAGGTAATTTACAATTCCATCAACAATGTGTGAGAAGACCTGTTTCCTACAGTCTTGTCAGCGCAATGTTTTATGCATATTTGTGATTCTGTGCCAAATACTGTAGGTGTAGAATGTTACTTTGATACAGCATTTTTCCTTTAATGTGTGAGGTTGATCATAACACATTTGGAATTTGTCTCCATTAGTGACATTTTCAATTCAGTGTTTCTTACTCTTGGAACAATGGCACCACACAACTTTCTCATTGCCATACATATCCTGTGCCCATAGAAGACACTGCTGTTAATCATAGTCATTTTCCTGCCCAGCCAGAGACAGACAGGCTACTCTGTCCTCCACACAGGAATCCAGTATTCACTTTCATCAGAGCTGTGACATGGACCAAAACCTAGATGGTAACTCTGTGCTTCCTCTTCCTGCTTCTCACAAACAAGAGCTTTCTAAACAACATGTGTTAAGGAATGATTTGTTTAGCCTTTGCAGCAGCCCAATGGGCATTGAAGCATTCTCATTCATTTACCCCAATGTACTTTTTAAATACTACATTTTCTGTATATGATGGAAAATGAAACAAGTTAGGAAGCTCATAGTTGCCTTCAAGGTGTAATGAAATTCAATCAGTGGGCAGAAATACTCCATGTCTATAACCAAGGCTGCTGTTGTTAGGTGCATTTGAGTCAATTATGGCTCATAGAAACCCTCAGAACAACAGAGTGGAACCTGGCCCTAACCTGTGCCATCCATTCTTATTAATTTCTATCTTCTAGGAGAAAGAAATGTATTGAATAAATTGATTTTTTTGCCTAACCAGGAAGATTCGCTGATAGTATTTTTTTTTAACACAGAGCTCAAATTAACAATTAGCATTTCTTAGAAGTTGACTAAATCCAAAACATAAAAATAAGATGAAAGACAATATTAATTCAGTTTGGAGAGTATCCTCTAAATACACTAAATTTCCTATCTTTCATCTACTTTTCTTCTCTCAAAATCGTCTTTAATTGGGGTTAGCAAAGGAAAGAAAGACTTTGATGAGTTAACACAGGGACTAAAACAATGAGCTCAAGTATATCAGGGGTGATGAGGATGGCATGGAGCAGGATTCAGATCTGTTATTTATAGGGTCGCTGTGAGTTGTAGTCAACTTGATGGCACCTAACAACAACAATAACTTCCATTTCCAAAGTACATAGATTTTCCCTGTACATAGATTTTGCATATATGTGACTTAAGGCTAACAGTACTTTGTTGTTGTTGTTGTTGTTGTTGTGTGTCATCGAGTCACCTGCATCTCATAGTGACCCTATGCACAATAGCTCTGAACTCTGTCCTATCCTTAACCAGTCTCATTGGCTCAGACACACCTAACCCCATTACTCCAATTAATTATCAATTAATTATTAATTAATTATTAATCAAGCCATTTCATCCAGGGTCTTCCTCTCCTGCGCTGTCCCTCCACCCTTCCAAGCGTGATGTCCTTCTCCAAGGACTGGTCTCTCCTGGCAACATGCCCAAAATATGTGACATGGAGTTTCAAAATCCTTACCTCCAAGGAGCAACTTGGTTTCACCCTCTCCAGAACAGACCTGATTGCTCTCTTGGCTATCCGTAGAATGTTCAACACACTTTTCCAGCACCACAATTCAAAGGCATCACTCTGTAACTAAAATGCATCGATCCATAATTTTTAACTAACATTTTGTGATGAGGCTATCCATACCAGCTGAGGTTAAACTCCTTATAAAGTTAACAGTTATGTGTCCTTGAGCTTAATGCGACTTACGACTTACCGTAACCCTATGTACAGTCTCTCTGAAGCCTGCCCTATCTTGAGCCAGTCTTACTGTCTTCGGCACACCTAATCCCATTATCTCAATTACTGTGTGAATCTGTCTCATCCTGGTCTTTCTCTCCTGTGCTGTCTTCTCTCTACCCATCCAAGCATTATGTCCCTTTCCAAGGACTGGTCCCTCCTGGCCCTGTGCCCAAAGTATGTGAGGCAGAGCTTCAGAATCCTTGCCTCCAAGGAGTGACTTCATTTCACCCTCTCCAGGAAAGTCCTGTTTGTTCTTTTTACAGTCCCTGGTTTAGTCAGTACTCTTCTCCAACACCACAACTCAAAGACATCAGTTCTTCTGTCATCCTTCTGTCCAGCTCTCTGATGCATAGCAAGTAATTATGAAGGTGATGGCCTCGATCAGGCACACCTTGGTCTTTAGACTGCCATTGTTGCCCTTTTAGCACTCTGGAGAGGTCCCTGAGAGCAAATTTTCCCAATATCTGTTACTAAAAGAGTCATCAGCAGTGACCACTGTGAGATTGAACTGGAATTGATATTTTCAGAGAAAGTCTGTTATGTTTTAAGTTTTTAGGATTTAAGTAACATTTAAATACATGCCATTTTAGTTAAATTAGCTGTTTTATATCTAATACTTTGAGCCTTTTAATCTAAAGAATTGTATTTTGGCTCCTTAGATTAATTGGTCTAAATATAAAGTAATAATTACTGTGATTGTCTTTATATTTTAAGTAATTTAAAATATATTTAAATCATACTTATAACATGTATTTCTTTTCCTAAAGAGTTATTAATTTAGAAAAAGATAAACACAGTCATTTCTACAACCAAAAAAATGACTTCAGAATTGAGTATAGTATGCTCGAAGAATTGGAAAATAAATTGATTATCAGCAGAAAAACAGAAAGTAAGTTGAGTTCATGATGAACTAAAGTCTGTTGAGTGATAAATTGTAGTCTTGCCTTTGTGCTTCGTCTTTGTGTATGGACTGTGTCATATTCTCTACCAAGATTCTGTCTAGGTCATACGTTTGACTTTTTGAAGTATGTGTTTTTTGGAATCCCTGGGTGGAACAGTTAACAGCTCTGGGCTACTTAATGAAAGGTGCATCCCAAAGCACTTCAGACCAAAGGCCTGACAATCTCCTTCATACTCTATGGAGTGCAGTTCTACTCCGGCACATGTGAGGGTTGACATTGCCTCACTGGTAACTGGGCGTTGTTTTTTTTTTGTTTGGGGTTTTTAGACATTTGGGTCACAATTTAGTTAAATTCTTCTGGGTTGTTCTCTGTGTATATTCCCTCCAATTTAATTGGAAAAATAAGAGTTTTGGGTTTTGGTTGACAAGCTAGTTAGTAGTATTGAAATGTGTTAAAAAAAATTATTTTTAAGGCATCTGTTCTTAGCTCATCAAACTGGCATTGTTGGCTGAACCCTGGACTAAGGTCCTGAATCTTATGCTTAGCAGTGGCATGAAGTAATGAAGTTATATAATTTCTTAAATCTGAGTTTCCTTATCTGTGATATAAAATCCACCCTTTTTTTTTAATCTCAGAACTGTTTTGTACACTTATTAAAATAAAAAATTAGAAAATTCCTATTAGATAGTGTAGCTATTTAAATCTGGAGATTTAAAAAAAAAAAGATAGTGTAGCTAATATGCTGTAGTTCTTGTCATTTATTATTAGTACTAAATGTGCAAGAAAATAATTTTATGAGAACACCTTGTTTCATTGTAGAATTGTTGTTAAGTGCCATCAAATTGAAGCTGACTTGCCAAGAGTCTGCAAATCACACAGGAAAGATTTCCCATCTTTCTTCCTCAGAGCAACTGGTGGATCCAAACCACCTGCCTTTGGGTTCAGAGCTCAACTCTTTACCCACTGCACCACAACAGCTCCCTCCATGGCATATTAAGTAGAATTCAATGATACATGTTGCAAAATATTTACATTAAAATAAAAACTATTTAGCAGTGCTTGAAGGAAAAAATAATGGATTTTCAAATAAATAAAGTTTATGTAGAGATTATACTATTACCAATTCAAAGAGATTTACTATTTTTCTTTCAGAATGTAAGATTGTAAATGTAAGGTTATTTTTTTAATTGTTGGGTAGACTCACTGTCAGGTAGATGGCATTTTAGGTACTTTGATCATTGTTCTAAAAATCATAGTGACAGGAGAACCTAGTAGGAATTCCGAATTTCCTGTTCATGACTCTGTTTTGACACAGAAAAATCTAAGTATCCTTAATTAAATATTTCCTTTTTCCCCCCACTTCTTTTGTGGGTAGCTTACAGAGCCACACCTTTCTTTTTCTTAATTAACTACTGTGTTTTCATTTAGCACAGTTTTAGGTCATTTGATTTTCCTTTTTTCCCCCCTGTGTCCCACAGTTTAGCCTCAGTATTAACATTCGGTATTTGTCTTACCTAGGAGATGAAAGGATCCATTGTCTTTAGTATAAGGATATCGAAATATCCCCTTCACATATTATAGCACACAAGTAATAAATAACTATACCTTACCTCAAATATCATGACACAATTTTAGAGTGCATTTATGTTATACTGTGCCTTGCTTATATGGTTTACCAATTTCAATTATATAACTAAAATAAAGAAATGTTATATTTTTATGCTGATAGCACACACATTCTATGTTTTGCTTTGAGGGTTTTTCCCTGACATTTCAACGTAGAAATTTTACACCTTCTGCATTTGTTTTCCAACCACTCCTTTCCCCAGGAGGTATTTTTATAAACATGTACTGTGCAAGCTTCTATTTTAACATCAATGTATTTTTTATTAGCATAACAATACTTAAGAATTTACCTTCCTGAGTGGGAGAAGCAAATAGTTGACAAACAAACATCTACCACAAGAGTTATTTTCTTTAAAAAAAGATAGCATACTGTAGCTCATCAACTAGAGGAAAAATACAACAAAAACCACTTTCTAATTTAATTTTAGTGGAGAAATGTTCTGATATAAAGTTGTAACAGTGAATTAATACTCTGTAAAAATACAGTGGAAGTCATGTTTCTGCTTTTATGATGTTCTTTAATTTCAATACAGCAGAGAACAAAGTTTGAAAATTTGTTATGATGTTAGCACTGAGTCCAGGCCTATAGATCAACTTAAAAAAAAGGGGGGGGGTTCTTTTATTGGTCTTTGGACAAAGAAATATTTTCTCTAGTCTCATTTGTGAAAAAGTTAGAAAAATTAAAAAAGGGATAGATGAATTAAGAAAACAAAGGTGAGAAAATAATATGACTATAGGCAGCTTCCAGGTTACAAATATCCAACTTGTATTTCTTGTTCTTTGTATGCTGTCTAGTCAGAACTGACCCACAGCTGACCCTCTGGCAGATTTTCAGAGACAGTTATATAATAAGCTGTGGTTTCTAGTAACACCTTTAATTCTTATTTTTTAAAAACTGTACAATGACTTATAATAATAAATGAGTACTACTTTGTCTTGATGGAACCTACCAACAACTGACTTTATACATCAAACATTACTATTAGTAATGTTTTATCTTAAAGAAATGTTCATGCATCTGTGTTTCTTTATGTTTTATTTCTATAAAGGTACACCCTAAGACATGCATAAATGAAATATAAACCATACCTATCTGTTCTCACTTACATACAATTCAAAGACAGATTTAGAAAAGAAACTCATTCATAACCCAAAGGTAACCTGTACTGTGAATGCAGTGTGTGAATATATATCTACTGACTCTCTGCCATCACCATTAGAACTGACTGATCGCAGACCCTGCAGTGGGTTTTTGAAGGTTCTAAGTCCCATGGGAGGAGATGGCCCATCTTTCTCCTGAGGAGCTTCTGGTGAATTTGAACCACCAGAGGCACCACTTTTGGGTTGGCAGCACAATTCCCTATGGACTTCACCACAAGAGTGTTCAAAGTAGTCACATTTTTTCAAAATTTATTTTTTAGTAACCATCTTTTGGTCTTTAGTATGTTATTCTTGACTGCTTTTTTCCTAGATATTATTCTTGACTACTTTTTCTGATCGATCTTGTGTATAAAATCCTAAACTATGTTTGACATGGGATTATTTTAAGACATCTACTTCTCTCTTAATAGGAACAAAAATTCAGCAACAGTTGGCAAAGATACATAACAATGTAAAGAGACTTCAGCAACAGTTAAAAGATGTGAAGCCTACTCCTGATTGTACGTCTATTTAAGCTTTATATTAATATTTTATATTGTTTGGGAAAATTTTACTTTTTTTTCCTTTTTGGCATTGATGGAGCCCTGCCATATCAGTTAGCAATTTATAAGAAAGCACTGGCAAACTTAACACTTGGGGCTTATCTAAAATAGAGGTAATTTGGGTAACAACTTTTTCCATTTAATTTTTCACAGTTGTTGAAAAGCTCAGAGAAATGATGGAAGACATTGAAAATGCAATTAACACTTTTAAAGAAGAACAGCGATTGATGTATGTTTTGAAATTTATATAAAATTCCCTTTATTGATAACTTTCCACTAATTTTACATAGAAACCATTTGTTTAGTGTGACTCTACACAAAAATAGTATCCTATTTCTTCTCTTTTATTTTAGGTGTTAGACTGCTTTATGTTTAAGGCGACTTTTCATTTCTATTTTGACCTTGTAAGATCCCCGGTGAGAGTTGGGTGGTGGTGATAGGTGCTGTCAGATTGGCTCTGATGCATAGTGACCCTGTGGGTAACAGAATGAAACCCTTCCTGATCCTGTTCAATCCTCACAGTCTATGCTGAGCTCAAACCTGCTGTTACAGTCACTGAGTCAGTTCATCTCATTGGGGATCTTCTTGTGTTTGCTGACCCTCTACTTTTACAAGAATTTTGTAAACTGTTTCCCCTCTTAAGAAACTCTTTTAATGCTTAGATTTATGTTAGTGATAAAGTATAGTATAATATTTGATCTTTCATCATCCAAAAACTAATAAAAATTAGTTTAAAGGAAGAAAGCAGGAAAATAAGCATATAAATTTGGTTAATACAGTTGTGTGACTGAGGCAGAGAAAGCTAGGAACTTCACAGGAAAAAGGGCCTAGGAAACAAGGGGGATATAATGGAAACAATAACTTGGGAAAAAGTTAGGAATAATTAAATTTAAGGGGGGGAAATATTGAAGGACTATTAAATGTGATTTTTAAATTTTAGATATGAAGAGCTTATTAAAGAAGAGAAAACAACGAACAATGAACTGAGTGCCATATCAAAAAAAATGGACATGTGGGCTTTCGGTAATTCAGAAACAGAGCAAGCTTTCAGAGTCGTGGCAAACAAAGTTCCTGTTGACAAATTATCATCAAGTACTCTTCCAGAAGAAGTGGTAGAGTTTGAAAAATTCCTTCAGCAAACAGGTGGACGACAAGGAGGCTGGGATGATTATGATCACCAGAACTTTGTGAAAGTGAGAAACAAATACAAAGGGAAGCCAGTATTTATGGGAGAAGTTTTAGAACACCTTCCTGGAAGAACACAGGATGAAGTTCAGCAACATGAGAAATGGTATCAAAAATTTCTTGCTCTAGAAGAAAGAAAAAAAGAGGTAATGATAGCGATGTCATTGAACTGTTCTAGACACTTTGCACAACTCATAATACATACAATTAACTTTATAATAGTCCCATGAAATTTATACTAACTCCATAGCTTCTGCCATTTTATGGAAGGTAAAACAGATATTATTGGAAGTTAAGTAATTTATTCAATAAACAGTATAGTAGAACAGAAATATGTTTTCAATTCCCTTTTCTTTTTTTTTTTAAATTGTAAAAAACATGTATACAGATACAAGGGGCTAAGGGTTGGGAGCAGAAGCGTGAGGATGGGCATGGATGAAATCAGAGGGCTACACAATTTGGTGGGTGGAGAGAGTAGGTGAAAGAAATGAGAAAGATCCATTGGGCATCAGAGAAGGCAGGGTAATGGTGAGCAAAGTCCAATGGTGATTTATTTTTTTTCTTTAACAAAGAAAGTGTTTTATTCACTTACGAGTTTTCATTTGGGAATGGGGTGCAGACTCTCTGACTTCTTCATGCTGAACAGGGGCATTGATGTGAAGGGGGCTAGGGGAGCCCACTTTAACACTTTACTGGTGATCCTCTGTTGAAGCTCCATGCCTTGTTGTTCAGTTAGAAGATATTTTCCTGACGTTTTCTGCCCTCTGGATTGCAAAGTTTTGCCAAGGTGAAGCCAGTGGGAATAGCTTGCTGAACCCTGAGGCTCCATCCTCCTTTGCGTCCTTATCTAGAAGTTATATTTCCCCTTTGTCTCTGGAACTGGGCTCAGGGTTCAGGTCTGGAGCAAGACTCACTATTAAGGTTGCCTATAGGCAAGGGAGCAAACCTAGAGAGAACAAACTTGTGAGTTACAAGGAGAAGGGCCTTGGAGGTGTTTCTTGGAGATGTACTGGGAAAGGAGGTGGAGGAAGGTGGCTTAGATAAAATTCCTCCTATATACTAGGCAGTGACCTGACAGCTCGCCTCAGGAGCCAGGTGGCTCTCCCGGGCCAGGCAGCACACCCTGGCCTCTCCCTGGGAGCCTGGAGGCACACCCCAGGGGCTGGACAGCTCTCCCCAGGGCCCAGAATTTTTTTCTTTATTGTGGGATAAACCCTCCTGTCTACAAATTATAGATATTACTTGTTGCTGTGGACTGTCGAGTCAGAAGTGACCCATAGCTGACCCTCCAGCAGGTTTTCAGAGGCTGTAAATCACACAGGAGGAGATTCCCCATCCTTCTCTGGCAGAGCAGCTGGTGGCCTCCAGCCACATGCCTTTGGGATTACAGTGCACCTTCTTGCCACTAGGCCACCAGAGCTCTCTGTAGATTACTTAGACATTTGAAAAAAAGAAAAAATCATTTTACAAGCAAGGCTATATTGTTTTGAATAAAAAATAGAAAACATATGACTATTAACAAACTTCTTTAAGTTTAGCAACTTCCACCTTGTTTATTTGAAAAACTGAAGATTTTTACTATTCTAGAAGAAAAGGCATCCTTGATTGTAGGATATCCCTAAAAATATTTTCATAATTAACAGGAAACAAAGTTAATTTTTATAAGAGCAGTATAAATAAAAAATAATAATGAAAGTTACTAAATGCAAAATGAATTCTTCATACACTGATTTGGATATATTCATAATTTTGAAGTTGAGAATTCTAGGAAAAGTGATTTAATTTTATATTGTATTTTCATAAAAATGTCATTTTGTCTTTTTTTAGGACCAAAATTTCTCAACCTTGGTACCTTGATATTTTGTACTAGACAATTCTTTGTTGCAAAGGCTGTCTTGTACATTATATAATGGTTAGCATTGTTTCTATAATCTACCCACTTTGTACTGTTACTATCCCCTCTCACTAATTAATGGTTCAAGTTGGAACTAACTCAAGGCTGACCCTCTGTTCAGTTTCTGAGACTGCAGGTGCCACAAGAGGAGACTGCTCTTCTTTCTCTTGAGGAGCCTACCACTGGTAGATTGGTATGCCAGAGTGATGTGGTTTTTAGATTAGCCACACAACTCCCTACGGGCCATGCCACTAGAGCTCACTAGTAATGTCCTTTAGTTGTGATTATTAAAATTAGAACAGAAATTACCAAATGTCCCCTAAAGGGAAAGTCATCTTTAGTTGAAAACCAAAAGATAAGATAGTTTTTCTACATCTATTATAATGAACTTTATCTTGCTTACGTTAACAAAATGGTATGTTATTCAACAGGTAGCACTTGATGACCCTTATGTTTCTGTCTTGTGTTTTTATGCAATAAGTAAAAAAGATTGACTTTTAGGATTTCAAGAAAAGATTTTAAAGCTTGTCCTTTTAAAAAATCCGAGGAGCAAACTGTTGTTGCTGTTGAGTGCTATCAAATCAGAACTGACCCACAGCTGACCCTTCAGTGGGTTTTCAGAGGCAGTAAATCACAGGGGATGAAATTACCCATATTTCTCCCACGGAGCAGCTGGTAGATTGAACCACATGCCTATGAGATTGAAGTGCAGCTTCTTATCATGAGGCTACCAGAGCTCTGTAGGATCATTTGAGCTTTCCTTTCCAAATTCTAAAAATTTGGTATTCTCAAAATGGTCCCTAGACCCATAAATAGAACTCACTCTTACCCTCATTGCTACTGAGTTGGAATGAATTCATAGCTGACTGCCCATTGATTTTCCAAGGCTATAAATTGCATGGGAGGAGATTGCCCCTCTGTCTCCCCAGGAGCCACTCTAGGATTTGAACTATGAGAGGGGCTTGGCCTTTGGGTTAGCACAACTCCCTACAGACTCCAAACCCCAAAATAATCCCATTGCATTAAAATCAGTTCTAACTCATGATGACCCCATGTATTGCAAAGTAGAATTTCTCCATAGTGCTTTCTTGACTGTAATCATTATGGAAGCACATTTTTTGGCCTTTATTGCATGACACTGCTAAGTGGGATTGAATTGCCAATCTTCATTGTTGTCATTGTTATTAGGTGCCATCAAGTCAAGTATGACCCATAGCAATCCTTTGAGCAGCAGATCTGAACCCTGTCCTATCCTGTGCCATCCTCACAATCTCGGACATACTTGAGCCCATTGTTGCAGTTACTGTGTCAGTCCATCTGGTTGAAGGTCTTCCTCTCTTTCTCTGACCCTCCTTTCCAAACATGATATCCTTCTCCAAAGAATAGACTCTTGTAGCAGTATGCGCAAAACATGTGAGAGAAAACTTTATTATCTTTGCCTCCAAGAAGCACTCTGGCTTGAACTTTCTCTAAGACATACCTGCTTGTTGGCAGTGTGGGAGATATTTACTACTTCTTTCCAACACCATAGCCCAAAGGCATCAATAACTCTGTCATCCTTAATTCATTGTACAGCTCTTTAGGTTAGTCAGTTTAGAAAGCTCATTACTGTCAAGTCAGAATTGAATCATACTGACCCTCCAGTATGTTTTGGGAGGTTGTAAATCCCACAGGAAGAGATTACCCAACTTTCAAACTCAGATGCTACTGTCCTGTCAAAATTGGTATATAGCTAACTCTCCAGTGAATTCTCTGAGGCTCTAATACCCACAAGAGGAGATTACCCGTCTTCGTCCTGAGGACTTGCTACTGGGGAGGTGTGCACTTAGGTTAGCAGCACAACTCCCTACAGACTAGGTCACCAGAGTTCCCTGTCTTTGCAAAGGTAACTATTTTTCAGACATGTCCTGTACATTCTCACCCTTAATGAAATAGACTGGCATATTTATATAGCAGTGGACTTGAACTTGCTGGCAAGTGCAACAGTGAGGCAGGACCAGGCAACATTTTATTCTATTCTGCAAAAAGTCACAATTAATTGAGTTGGGGTCTACTCAGCAGCCGCTGACGACAGCATTATTGAGCTAGATTTTATTTTTTTTTATTTAATGTTTTAAAAATACTTTTAAAGCACTATGTGTCAGGCACTCATTCTTCTCAATAACATATCTATGTTTGAAGAACTACTTAACACTTTTTAAAAAATTAATTTTAATGAACATTTGCATATATTTTGGATTTCCATACATTCATTGTTGCATTTTTTTCCCTGCCCACCTTTCCCCCCAGTTCACTCTTCTCTTTGAAAAGTAAAAGGAAAATTATTTCATTGGTATACAATTCCCCCCACCCCGAGTACACTCCACTATGCAACCTTCATTCTGGACTCTTGTCATAACCATAATACCCAATCATATATCGCTTCCAAACAGTTTTCTCCCTCATCTGTTTCAATGCAGTATACATAATTTATCCCATTTTTCTCAGTCTCACCCCCAACCCTGATGTCATTCCCGTTCTACAATAGTGGCCATGCAGCACCTGTCCTTTTGTGACTGAGATCTTTCCACTCAGCATAATGTCCTCCAAGGTCAACCATTTTGAATAATATTGCATGAGTTCCTTGTTTTTCAGGGCAGTATAGTATTCCATTGTGTGAATATACCAGATACTTAACACTTTAGAAATGAACAAAATTAGAGGGAAGTTAATGACTTCTGTAAGGTCACATCTAATATATGGGAAAGTCCGAGTTTGGTGCAGAGAGTCCGAGTTCAGAGTCCTTGCTCTTAACCACTGTGTTTTTAATTCCTTTTTTGACACTCAACCAGAGGAAAATTACCCACAGAGTATTCTAAACCTAGAAAGAGGATATGGAAGCAGAAGTGAGATAGAGAAATAGGATGTTTTCCATGAAAGCAAAAGGCTAAGGAGAAGGAAAGGAGGAGAATGCTACCAAAACCAAACCTTTTGTATGTAAGCGGCCAGCATTCTCCAATCAATATTCTTTCTTAAAAGATGGATTTGAGATTTTATTTTTAAATTCTTTTTGCTATCTTAAAAATATTTTTTTCCTGTCTTTTGCTCGTCATTTAGTCTATTCAGAATTGGAAAACTAAAAAACAACAAAAAAAGGAAGACATTTTCAAGTTAAAAGAAAAAGCAGATGATACACATATGCTTTATTATGATAATCAAGAAGAGAATCAAAAGCAAAAAGAGGAAGAAAGGAAAAGACAGAAATTGGCAGTTGAAGCTTGGAAAAAACAGAAAAGCATAGAACTGTCAATGAAAAATGCTTCTCAGTTAAAAGATGAGGAAGAGAAAGAGAGAAAACAGCAGAGAGAGCGTCAACGTCAGTGTAAACTAAAATTACTGCTAGAAAATTATACCCAGCAGAAGAAAGAACAGGAAGAATTTTTGAGGCTTGAAAAGGAAATAAGAGAAAAGGCAGAAAAAGCAGAAAAAAGGAAAATTGCTGCTGAAGAAATTTCCAGGTTTCAGGAAAGAGTGAGTAAATATGCTTCCTGTGTATGTTTTAAATTCTGCTTTTTTAAATTCTAATTTCTAGAGTTTCTATCTAGTGGGACAGATAGATGTGCAAGTAGATTTTAGTAGAATGTAGTTAATAGTGTGGTTATGGAGGCATGAACAGTACTTAAAGAAGTGGATGTACAGAAAGGGAAGATGACCACATGTATGAGTATTAAGAGAAGTGGTAGTTGTTGTTAAATGCTGTTGAGTAGAGCACGACTCATAGCAACCCTATGAACAAAAGGCCTTAACTCTCTTTTATAACTATTGTCATTTCTCTAAGTTCATAGAGTTTCGAGAAGCATGTTGTTTAGGAAGTGGATGCCACTCCTACTTACGAGCCTGTCTTAATCTGGGAGCACCACCAAACACTGTCCACCATGGGTAACCATTAGGGCATTTGAGACACCATTGGCACAGCGTTTAGCATCACAGCAATACCAAGTTTTTTCAGTATAGCAAATTGACCACTGTACTGTACCACTTAGGAGAATGTTCCATTCAATCAAGAGAAGCGGGGCGGGGGGGTGTGTAGGATTTAAAAAAGAGAAGATATGACCTTTAACTTGGAAGAAAAGAAATGGAAAAGGGAGACAGAGAGAAGTCCTTCCTAGCAGAGGGAACATGAGTACTGGGTTGGAAGATTGAAATAGGATAGTTTGCTGGAGAGACTCTGTAAACACATTAATATTCTTAGGGCATCAAGTAGGATGGTGGAACCAGCAAGAGAGCTTGACTACCAATCAGGCCATGATCTTCCCTGTGTAATGGCCTGGCTTTCCCAAGGTGATTTTTTTTCCCCCAAATTCATTGTCTCTCTCTCAAACACAGGTTATCCCCATTTCATTCATCCCTGTTCCCTAGGGTTTGGTCATTATAAGCATGATAAATATAATTATTCCTGATTAGTAGGATTATAGATGATTCTAAATGAATGTTTACCAGAAAGGAGTTAGAATCTTTTTAGAAAAGGGAAAATTCAGTGCAGAAAGCATTGAATAAAACAAGGAGAAGGATATTTTAGGATTAAAAAAAGGGTGGAAAATAGAACTATTTTAAATATGTGTACATAAAAATATATAACAAAAAATACATAAAAGCAGCAAACATAATGCAGAAAATAAGGATCATCCAAAGAAACCTAATAGACAACAGCCCTCTAATAGAGAATATTTTTATTAATTTCTTTTAGTCCATATGCCAGAATCTTCCTATATCACAGATGATCTCATGGGGGGGGGAGGCATAAAAAATTCTGAAAAATATAAAAGACTTTGAGAATGAAGGCAAGAATTAGGGCAAGACATACATAGCTATACTGGAAAGTGAAAATGAGCTTAACCTGTATTAAAAGGACTTTTTAGATTGCGTTATAAATATGACAAGTTTTATATTTATTAAGTAACTTAAAAGGATGCACGTATTAAACATACTCATATAAAAAATAAAGTTCTTAGCCTTTTGTTAGAAAAGGCTAATACAGACACTTTAGTAATATCTAAGAACTTTATTTTGCTCACAAACAAGTGAGCTTTGAATTAATTTCTGGTTCATTTTACTTTCTTTGTTTCTTTGTGTATTTTATTTTTCTTTTAGGATTTGCAGAAACTTGAATTGAAAATTCTAGCTAGACAGGCAAAGGAAGATGAAAAGGCAGAAAAACAAAGACGACGGGCAAAATTAAAAGAAAAGGTACTCCATATGAAGAGGCATTGATCTTTTTGTTATCCTAATTCATTGATTTGTTAGATTCAGATATCAAATCTATTTTTATAGTCTTTAAATTTTATCCTTATTTAATTATTTACTTTCTTTTATTTTATTATTTCTTGTGTGTGTACCATCAAATCGGATCTGACTGATACAAGAGGAGATTGCTCCACCTTCTCCAGCAGAGCATCTGGTTTCTTCTTCCAACTGTTACCTTTGGGATTGCAGTGCAGCAGCTTCTTGCCACTAGGCCACCAGAACGCTCTTTGTTTAATTCTTTACTTAGTGGGAAACTTAGCATAATTTCAAGCAACTATTAGTTGAATTCTACCATTTCCCTCCATAAGCATCTCTTTTCACATGAAAATATTTATTTTCGTCTTCATTCTTTTTTTTTCTTCTATGTGAGCCCATAACAGCTGTAAACATTATTTAATCTTACTGGGGACACCAATCAGAACTAACAACATTGTTGTTATATTTGGTCAAAGCAAAGGGCTTAACCAAACCAACACACTGCCATTGAGTTGACTGTTCTAGGGAGTTAGGAGTACAACTGTGCATAGTAGGGTTCTCTGTGGCTCATGTTTTGGAAGTAGAACAGTAAGTTTTTCTTCCAAGGTACCTCAAAGTGTATTTGAACTTCTTTCTTTTTGATTAGCGTTTAACCATATCACACAGTTTATTTATGCCATGTTTAATGGCTAGCCACATCGCCATCATACTTCAGAATATTATTTTTACTTTAAAACAAAAAAATAACTATAATAGAATATAACAAAATGAGTTTTTTATTTTAAAATTTATTCATAAAAGTAAGTAATTTATAAAAATGTATTGATAATACATTGATGTTGTTTTTAGCCACGTTATTTTGCCATCTGAGTATAATAAGAATTTTAGTAAAAAAAAAATTAGTGACAGGTTTTTTGGTTTTGCTTTGATTTTCACTGTTTATATGCTACCAAGAATGTTTTTTAAAACTTCTTCCTGTTCCCAGAAGATCTTCAGTAGTTTGTTCAAACTCACTGCCATCCATTTGGCTCTGAGTCATAGCAAACCCTCAGTGGGTTTCCAAGACACTAAATCATGACGGGAGGAGACTGTCCATCTTTCTCCCATGGAGCTCCTGTAGCTTCAAACCACTGGAGATCTATACCTTTTGGGTTGACAGTGCATCTCATTAAAGACTTCTCCACCAGAGCTTCCTGAATTATTTATTAATACAAGCTGGCACTATTGTAGTTTATGTTAGATGGATCATAGCTGAAAGCAGAGAGTACCAAAAGAATGTCTATCTGTGTTTCATTGACTATACAAAGGTGTTTATTTGACTGTGTGAATCACAACAAATTGTGCCTAATCTTGAGAAGAGTAGGAATCCCAGAACACTTGATTGTGCTCATACAAAACTATACTTAGACCAGGAGGCAGTCATTAGAATAGACCAAGCAAACACTGCATGGTCCAAAATCAAGAAAGGTGTATGCCAGGAATGCATCCTGTCTCTAACCTTTACAATCTATATGTGCAGAACAGATAATGCAGGAGAATGGGCTCTATGAGGAGGAATGTGGCATCAGAATTAGAGAAAGACTCATCCATGAACAATCTGCTTTATATAGATGACATAACCTTGCTTGCTGAAACTGAGTAGGACCTGATGCATTTGCTGCAGAAGGTTAAGGACTGTAGTCTTCAATATGGACAGAAGCTCAACATCAAGAAAATGAAAATTCTCACCACTGGGCCAGTTGGCAAAATCATGATAGATGGCCAAGAGATTGAGACTGTTAACAGCTTCAGCTTACTTGGCTCTACAATAAACACTCTTGGTACCAGCAACCAGAAAATCAAGAGACAAATTGCATTGTGAAAAGTGGCTGTCAAGGACCTCTCCAAAGTACTTAAGAGCAATGGTGTCAGTCTAAAGATTAAGGTGTGCCTGATCCAGGCCGTGATCTTCGCATGCATCAGTGAGCTGGACAGTGACTAAGGATGACAGCAGAAGAATTGAGGCCTATGAGCTGTGGTGCTGTAGAAGAGTATTGCATATGCTGTTGACTGCTAGAACAAACAGGTTCAAATGAAACCACGCTGCTCCTTGGAGGCAATGATTCTGAAGCTTCATCTGACATCCTTGGAGAAGGGACATCATGCTTGGAAGGGTGGAGGGACAGCAAGAGAGAAAGGCCCTTGATGAGATGGACTGACTTAATGACTGGGGTAATGGGAGTAGGTGTGTCAGAGACAATGAGGTTCGCTCAGGATCGAGCAGGGTTCAGAGCTGTTGTACATAGGGTCGTGATAAATTGCAAGCAGCTCGGTGCATAATAATAACAATGTTGTTGTTGCCTTCAAGTTGACAATGACTCATAATGATCCTATGAACAATAGGTCTAAACCCTGTCCTGTTGTGTACTTTTCTCATTTATCCCTTATATACTTGAGTCATTGCTTCTATCACTGTGTTGATTCATCTTGTTGAGAGTCTTCCTCTCTTTCATTGACCCTTCTATGTTTTCTTTTCCTAACAATATGCCCCAAGTATGTGAGACAAAGTTTCATTATCCTTACATCTAAGTAACACCCTGACTGCATGAACTTTAAGATTTGTATTTGTTCTTTTGGCAGTCCCTGGCATATCCAACACCACAACTCTTCTCCAACAACACAACTCAAAGGCATTAATTCTTCTTCTGTCATCCTTATTCATTGTCTAACTTTCAGATACATAGGAAGTAACTAAAAAGACCATGGCTTGGATCTGTTGCACCTTAGTCTTTAAACTGACAGCGTTGCTCTTTGGCACTTTGGAGGTGGCTTTGACAGCCTTTCCCCCCAATGCAACATGTCTTGATTTTTTGACTGCTGATACCAAAGTTGTTGATTGTAGATACTAACAAGGTGAAATTGTTAATAGCTTCAATCTTCTATCATCATATACAAACTAATAGTAAATTAACTGGCACTCATTTTACTTCTGATAACAGGTTGAAAACAATGTTACCCGAGATCCTTCTAGGCTTTACAAACCTACTAGAGGTTGGGAAGAACGGACCAAAAAGATAGGACCAACAGGCTCTGGACCACTTCTTTATATTCCACACAGGTGAAAAAGAATTAATGGCTGTTTATGGTAATTTAATGAACTGATGTGCTTTATACAATGCTTGTGTATGTATATAGAATGTTGTTGTTATGTGTTGTTTTTATGCGACCCTGTATGTGTTAGCTCTGAATCCTGCCCTACCCTGAGTCAATCTCTTCATCTCTGACTGACCTAATCCCATTTCTCCAGTCACTGAGTCAATCCCTCTCATCCTGGGTCTTCCTCTCCTGCGCTGTCTCTTCATCATTCTAAGCATAATGTTCTTCTCCAAGGACTAGTCCCTCCTATATCTTACAATAGAACATTGATAATATAGATGTTTTTGAAGTCAACATATAATCTATTTTTTTTAAGTTTCTATATATTTTTTTAATAAAGGTATTTTCTTTTTCTCTTTAGGGCTATTCCAAGCTGGAGACAAGGATTATAGAGAAGTATAAGGGATAATGAAATTCCTATGCAGTTAATGAGAATGTTGGCATAGCTAGTTACACTGGTTGATAGAGTGACTACCATGTTCTTTAAATATCACTTGCCTAGTCATGCTGGTTATTAGTTGTACTTCTGTGTGAATTGACAAGTACTAAGTTCCTTGCTGATACTGTTATTGTTTCAACTAATAGTATTTAATGTTTATTTTCTCCTTTAGATGTAAACATTTATGTTATAAACATTTTATTTAAGCACATAGAACAGTTTGGACATATTTAATCCTAACATAACAAAGTAAATTGAGACAATTATAAAGTAACATTTTCTAAACCAAGTTTTCTAACTTTCAAAATTTGTAGGAAAGTTAGCTTGAGTAACAAAATGTAAAATTTTTCTTTTGTTGTTTTAAGAATTAGGAAATCTTTTCTAAGTTTCACAAATTAGTTGTTTGGCCTGTAATTACATTTTGTGTAATAAACATTTTGTATTTGTTTGGAGCATGCTTTGTTTTATATAGAGTATTTCTTTTAAAAGCATGCTTATCACATCACCATTTTAATTGTATTATTAATAATATCTTTTTTGTTTCTTTGAAGTATTTCAGATTTTCCTTCAGCTTTTTCTGCATTTAAAACATTTATAAAATCAGTATTCACGTTTTCCTGCTGATGCTCTTTTTGTTTGTGCTTCTGCTCATCTCAGAATATTAAAATGGTTTGTTTTAAAACATCTGAAATAAGCTATCTTTGAAATATTATCACTTTTTTGATGGTATTTAAAGACTTTTAAATTGCTAACTTAATTTCCATTTGGTAAAGAGAAGTTAATTTTTAAAAACTCAAACTTTCCTACGTGAAAGCTAAAATTTATCGTAATTCAACTTAACTTTTTGTATTATAAAATCTTAACTTCTTAAATCTTCTTATAAAAAGGTGTACCATACACATAGTTGTTGTTGTTATGTGCCATCGAGTCGTTTCCGACTCATAGTGACCCTATGCACAACAGCTCTAAACC